CGCCACGTATACCTTCAGAGTGGAGGGAGATAACCCTGCGGAGAATCGGGCCTGCAGAAACTCCAGCACTGTACCAACCGGGCAGTTAACTGGGTCGAGCTGGGGCCTCCGGTACGAGGCCCCTCAGGGTCCACACCCACAACTTCCACAGCTCCGGGCGGGGGTGGATGATCGTACCCTCCGCCTGTGAGAGGAGATCTCTCCTGACGGGAATCTCCCATGGAGCGCCGTCAAGGAGAGAAATCAGGTCCGAGAACCATACTCGGCCCGGCCAGAACGGGGCTACTAGCAGAAGACGGACCTTGTCCCGGCGCACTCTCTCCAGAACTCCCGGGATCAGAGCGATCGGGGGAAAGGAGTACAGCCGAAGCCTCTCTCTCCAGAACTCCCGGGATCAGAGCGATCGGGGGAAAGGCGTACAGCCGAAGCCTCGGCCACGTCTGTACAATGGCATCCAGCCCCAGTGGAGCTGGATGAGTGAGAGAGAACCAGAGGGGACAGTGCGAGGTCTCTCGAGTCGCAAACAGGTCCACCTGAGCTTGCCAAAAAACTCTCCATATCTGCTTCACCACCTCGGGGTGAAACATCCATTCCCCGGGCCTTGGTCCCTGCCTCGACAGGATGTCTGCTCCCAAATTGAGATGCCAAGGAATGTGAATTGCTCTCAGCGAGAGAAGTTTGCCCTGGGACCACACAAGGATCTGATACGCTAGTTTGTACAAACGGCGTGAGCGCAGATCTCCCTGGTGGTTGATGTAAGAGACCACCGCTGTGTTGTCGGTGCGCACCAACACATGGTGACCTCTTAGGTCTGGGAGGAAGTGTCTTAGTGCACGAAGCATGGCCAGTATCTCCAGGCAGTTTATATGCCACGTCAGATGGCGACCACTCCACAGACCGCGGGCAGGGTAGCCACTCATGACCGCACCTCAACCGGTGAGGGATGCGTCCGTCGCTAGCATTACGCGGCGACAAGGAGCTCCCAGCACCGGGCCCTGAGACAAGAACCAAGGTTTCTTCCACATGTCCAAGGCACGTAGGCATCGCTTTGTGACCTTGATCATGTGAAGCGGGTTGCCCCTCGGGGAGAACCCCTTGGTTTTGAACCACCACAGTAGGGGTCTCATGTACAGCAGGCCAAGAGGTATCATGTTGGACACAGCTGCCATCAGACCCAGCAGTCTCTGAAACTGCTTGACAGTGAGTGACTGGCCTTCTCTGACTCTTGCGACTGCGGTGAGGATCGACTCGATCCGAGCAGGAGACATACGTGCCTGCATCGTGGTTGAATCCCACACCACGCCCAGATAAGTGGTTCTCTGTACTGGAGAAAGCACACTTTTCTTGGCGTTAAGTCTTAAACCCATCTCTTTCGTTTGTCGAACCGCCATCCGCTCTGATTGAGCTAATATTGTGGTTGAGTCGTGAAAGTGTGGGGTGAGAGTGCAAAGCCAAAGGAAGAACCGGTATTGGTAGGCTTTTGCCCCCAAAAGCAAACCTCAGGAACTTCCTATGATGAGGAAGGACGGAGATATGTGCATCTTTTAGATCGATCGTGATACACCAGTCCTCGGACTTGGTCTGAGACATGACCTGTTTGAGTGCAAGCATGCTGAATTCAGTCCCCTGACTGAGCGGTTCAAAAGACGCAGATCTAAACCGCCTCAACCTCCTCAGAGGAAGAGAGGTAAACGCGTGCTCTCACTCGGGAATTTTTTATCCCAAGAGCCACTGTATATCTAACTTCTCATAGTCAGATAAATACTTCATTTTATTCCTCAGAATGAAATGCAGTCAAACAACCAGACGAGTAAATACGGTCTGGTGAGTAAGATTCACATCAAAAACCGAAATGATGTAATATATGCATTGCCTTGGCAGCGCGCGAGCCGCTCAGTCACACAAACAACATCAATCTCCTCAGAGAAAGATGGCCGCAGCAGCGAGCTCTCACTCAGAGGGGGAAGAAACCGCAGCGCGGGCTTCCAAGCCTCGAGAACGAGCGCTAGATCTAGGGAACACGAGTGGAGACGTCTCCAACCCTTCCGCCAGATCATGTGCGATCTCAGTCGCCGCCATGCCTCAGCAGCAGCGGGACCGCGCAAGATCACAGGCACGGACATACTCCTCGGAGCGTGCCCGGCAAGAGCGGAGCGCTTAACAGCGGGAAAAGCACAATCAGCCCCCCGAGAGCAGACTGCGCGAGCTCTGCTCCCCATTAATGTTGCTCATTATAATATCAGGCATAATATGCTTATGTAACTGATGCTTGTGCAACTGGCGAGCTCTTCGACGCCCTCTGTATCAATCTCCTCGGAGAAAGACAGGCGGAGCATCGCGCCCTCTCCCTGGGGGGAAGAACCGCAGCGTGGGCTTCCGAAACCCCGAGAGCAGGCGCCGGATCTGGTGGTTAAGGAAGCAGATAGGGACTTGCCCGTCTACATTCCCTCCACCGGATCCATATGCGAAACCCACGAGCACAGCCGCCGCTCTGCCTCGGCGAAAGCGGGGCCGGCACCGCTAGGAATGCTAGTGAAGGCTCCCTCCTCAAAGAGAGCCCTCTGAGAGCGAAGCAAGGCAGTAACAAACGTTACCAAAGCGGGCCGTCAACTCCCTCGAGAGCTGACTCTGCGTGCTTCGCTCCCAAGCAGACAACAAACAAACTGTGTGTATCCCCACCCGTAAAGTAACGCGGGCAGGGAGGAACCCACAGCCTGAATGCTGCCTGCCCTCGCCTTAGGTGTTTGGTTTTGTCTTGTGATTTTGTGACAGACAACACTAAATAAGACTCACAAACAGATATCAGACTGACACACACACACAGAGCGCTTGCTGAATGACAGAAACCTGACGCCGGTTTCACCGCACGTGCTTTTAAGCTTCCTGGTCGCTACGTCACCCCGCCCGTGACGTCTTGCCCATCCTTTGGACTGATTACACACATGGTTCAGAGCCGGTCACGCTGAAGGGCGTTCCCAAAGCGTCCTCCAACGCCGCTCGAGTTCCTGAAGAGGAAACTCCATTTCCATTTCCAACACATGCAACAGACTGGACCAGTTGACCAATCAGAGCAGACTAGAAAGGCGGGATTTAAAGAGAAATTAACTAAAATAGAGCGTTTCAGTAAGAAGATGAAAAAAGTGCTGCAGGATGAGGAAAAATAATATATTTTTTTAGCTTTAAATCATGTAAATGTGTTCTAGCAGACCCCAAAAATAACATTTTGAACTGAGCATAATATGGGTACTTTCAATACTGTACATTTATGTCTCATGGTCTTGTTGTCATTCACTGCAAATTAAATATGGCGTCTACCCTGACTAAGGTCTATTGACTGTTCCACTTGTGTAACCCATAAATGATTTGGCATGCAGCCTGCTGTATTTGTCCCAATTCAGAACTCCTTCAGCCTGTGCGGAGTAGATGATGAAGCCTGGTCTAGAGCGCAATGAACTGTACTAAAGCCCAGCAAATCGCAAGCCAACTTGTTAATTGCCTTTTTCTTATCTCTCCATGTCCAGTGTGTATGGCTGTCCTGCCGCCAAGAAGAGAAAACCCCTGGAGAGCCATGCCCTGGAGCCCTCGCCCAAGAGGAAGGTCTTTCTAACAGTCATAGACCAGCCGTCAACGGAGGAGATGGATGAAAATGAGGAGGAAGAGGAGGAGGAGGAGGAACAAGATGATGAGGAAAATGAAGATGAAGAGGAACCGGAGGAGGAATATACTGACAACGAGGACCAATATGAACAGGAAGAGGTAGAAGTGATTAATGGAGAAGAGGAAGAGGTGGAACAGGAAGAAGAGGAAGTGGTGGAGGAGGAAGAGGAAGAAGAAGTAGAAAGAGAGTGGGAGGATGATGAAGATGAAGATGAGGAAGATGAGCAAGAGGATGAGGAGCAAATTCAAGAAATAGGTGAGAGTCTGAATAAATCCACGAAAGATGGACTTTTGATTTATTATGCAGGCGTATTGGCTCATATACACTGATAAAATATTAACATCTAAATTAACTAAATATCAAAACTATTATTTAGTATCACTGAATCAATCTTAAATACATGAATTTGTACCAGCAAAACTCATTTTTATGAGGTAAATATGCTAACAATTGCAGGATGATATAGTGAAAATATGGAGATTGAGGAGGAAAAAGACCAGCTCAACTTTATTCAGAGGCCCAAACCAAGCAAAAATATGCATTTTGATGCAGATGTTGATATTTATATATAGCAAAAAGGTAACATGAAATTCTGATAATTTGTCATGTAAATCAATCAATCTTTATACCAATAATAACATAATAAAATGATATAAATATGTCGTCACTCTGTATCTCCAATAATTGATGATATATAAATGCATTGTTTGATGATCAAAATGTATAATGCAATGCAAAACAATGATGATTGAGAGATGAACAAACAAATGTTCTTCAAAAGCCTGATGATCATATATGAGACTCACATTTAAACATGATTTTTCTAAAATGATAATCAAGTAAAGCTAAGTTGCTTCGGTCCAGTAAGCGTTGATCTTGCAATATTTCTAACAATATAAGCTATTCACACATTTACTTTATGAAATCAGTAAATATTTCACAGCAAAAAGACACATGAAGCATGAGATGAAATTGTACCTTTTACTTGATAAAAAGTCTAAAGTATCAAGACATGTGGTAGATTGTATACAACATGTTTAACATGTTGATCATTTTAGACCTTAGAAATGTCCATATCATATATAATACAGTAAGCTTTAAAAGGTTAATCCGGCATGAGAATGTTTTATTTTTGGGCTTCGAAACAAAACCAGAGCTGAATGTGAAGTGAGTATTTCAGCCTCCAGAGGGGTAGAGGAGGTAATTTGGCAGTTAGGCATATTTGGAAGAAGGTCACCGTAATTTGAGGTGCAGTTGGATGATTTTGCTGTGACCTTCAGCGCGGTCTCAGTATCAGAATAAAAACAGAGGTGCTCAGTTCATCGACACACAGCCTACTGAAGGTGAGCTTTGAAGTGCACCAAAGCCCTCAAATATTACCAACAATCTGATTGTTTCAAAAAGTTACAAAACTTTAAGGAAACTTGTTAAGTTAAATATATATATGTTTCCGTTATTTAATCTGAACAACAAATAGGTTCTTAAACTAATACCCCCGATTCTAAATACTGTGTGTGATTACAGTTTTGCAGAGAGTATTAGCTTATTTATTGCTACTAATCTTAGCATGCACATACATTGTTGCATCACAGTAAGTGTCGAATTCACATTCTCAATAATTTGTTTAAAACATTCAGGAATAAAGATTATAATTTCAACAGAAAGATTCAAATTAAACAATATATTTAAAATATTCATGAAAATATCAATTTAAAGATTTTCATTTCAAAAGAAAGTTATGGTAATATAACTTGTGCATGCTTTGTATATACATACATACATTATTATTATTTATTTACAAATAATCCCATTATCTTGTGTGCAATTACTGTTCAGCCTTGTTATTTTCAGTGTTATATATAACCTCTAAACTTAATGACATTATAATTATCACAAAATCATTATCGTTGAGAAAATGTTTTAAGAAATCTATAAAGAAAAGTAAAATGATATATAGTATTACAACTTGTATATCTAGACCTGAAGCATCCATGTTGTCTGATTCATGAGACAACAACAATTGTTTCAGTATTCAGTGGGTCGATTCTGGTGGTCTAAGGATGTCTGCTAAATCAGGGAGTAGGCGTGAGATGTGTTTCAGACATGTCTCATCCACTTCAGACAGCTCAGCCAGCCGCACATGCAATCAGACCCGACAGAGACTTCTAGTCTAATTAACAATCAAACTCCCACATTTATTGGCATTAACCCTGTTTTCTGTGCTGTGTTTTCTTACCTAAGATATTGGCTTTGTCTCAAAACCTAGTGATCTGACTGCATGAGCAGTTGTCGACAGCGTGTTAATTGAATTAGAACCTTATAAGTAACTGGTTTCACTCTTCACAGGCATAGCTTCATTAACAGGTAATCACGCGCTGCAGTTTGCACTTGACTAACAGGCTATTGTTAGCATGAAGCTAAGCTAATGACATTAGCACACTTAAATATTGTGAAAATAATTAGATGGAGTTAATGTGCATCTTCTATTGATACTTTTGAATCTGCAAAAAAGACGATATATTATCAAATTCATCAGTTGAATGAAATTCAATTTTGGCTGCAAAGCAGCTCTTCAGAACACGAAAGAGTCATTATTCAGCTAAATGTAGTTCAGTGTTGATTCAGGTCAGTTCATTTACAGTGCCAATGTTGCAAAGTGCATCAATTATGAAACAAATGAAACTGTAAAGCAGTTCTTCAGAAGACAATAGTTTTTATTCAGCTCAATTCAGTTCAATGTTGATTCAGTTCAGTTCAATAACTGTGCAGTTTCTGGGTTTGGAATGCAAACATAAAGGTTTGATTATAGAACCAGCCTATAATATTTACAAAAAAATCAGTTTGCAATAATGACCAGCTGATTTGACACTATGCCTGGTTTTATACCTACTAAACCTGTTTTATGAAATATTGATTGGACTATTATATTGTTGATTTAATATTACATTACAATATGTTCAGTATCACACAAGAGTGCTGCTGTTCTGAAAGTCAGCATGGCACAGGTAATCTAAGATTGATTGATATTCATATTTTTTTTGATCAGTCAACAAAAAGTTAAAATTTTTTAGGTAAATGTTTATTTATTTGTTTAAATCTAATTGTCCCTATTTTAAGTTTCTTTCATATTGAGTACTTGTTCTTCCGAGTTTTAGTTTACTTGCTCAAGTCTTGTGAGTGCATGGACAGTCTATACTACAGAGCGTCCAAGAATGCTTGGGTTTCACACTAGATATTTTGCTGTCAATCGAAGTTTGTTTGATTAGTGTGAAAGCTTTTTTTATACTTGGTTTTGCACTGAGGAACACCTTTAAATGGCATCTAGGTTATGGTCATGTGTAGAATTTGCATCTAATTAGAGTGTTTCTTTATTCTTCACGCATCTTGCTGTGCATCCACGGCAGACAGACTCAAGTAACCACACTGTATACTTTCAATTTTGAGAATAAAACCAAATCTACAAAAAACATTTGTAAAAAGACGGAAGTGAACAACTTTATCTCATTACAGTATTAAAATAATATTGGACTTAATAGAAATAAATAAAAACTTGAAATGGCAAAAGTTTGTTGTCTCATCACATTCCGTCATTTTTTCCGTCAAAATTTGACCAAAATGTCAAGTAGTTTGCATCACTGGATGTTACTTTTTAAAATTTCTATAGTAACACCGATGTCAAATATTAAATGTTTCGCTACTTGCATCTTATAGTCTTTCACTGTTAAAACGGAAGCATTGCGTTAACATCTATGAACAGTAAAGCCCACCTTGATTTGATTGGCCTTCTCAAACATTTTGACATTGATGATTGCTGTTAGACCGTTGAGCTGAACTTTGTCATCCTAAAAACAAAAAGAGCAGCAACAAGATAAGAAAATATTGAGAGGGACAATTGGGCAATTTCAAATTTTTTGGGGGAACAATGTTTAAAACGAACATACTTAAAACAAAATCAAAGAATGAACAGGTGTGATGTTACTTTGAATGAAATCAGGCCAAAACAAAGTTCATTTGGAGTTCACTTTAGGAGTTCAAAACAACTTTCTAGAAAAATTCTGCTCTGGCTTGTCACCTTTGAACTCCCATAGATCTGTGATGATGATGATGCAATAGGTAGGTGTGGCTCTGGGGCTCCGCCCTCTTTGACGTGGCAATCTTCTCTGGTTCATTTCCTCTGTTCAGTTTGTTAGTAAAAACATGAACTCACTGGGGAGCTGCTTTATAGTATAAACAACAGACAATAATTTGCGTATATCTGAGCCTTGAGGTGCTTATGGCCATGATACAAGGATGGTTCAGAGTCAAACATGTGGTTGGGTATGGAATGAAACTTTGTTTTGGATAATGCAGTTAAACCAAGAGTTATCTGTTGAGCTGCTACAGCTGGTATAGCAGTATTTGTTTGTCTTTCACAGAGAGTGACCATATGAATTGCAGTCCCAGCAGAACAAGCCCCTCCATGGAGAAGGACAACAACAACAACGATGAATATGAAAACTACGATGAACTGGTTGCCAAATCTCTGCTTAACCTGGGCAAGATCGCAGAGGACGCCGCTTATCGGGCCATGACCGAGTCCGAGATGAACAGCAACTCCTCAAACAGCGCAGAAGAGGAGGAGGAAGAAGATGAGGATGAGGAGGGCTCAAGGAAAGGTGAGCTGAGTCTAGATGTAAACAGTGATGTGGTAAGGGAGACTGTGGACTCTCTAAAGCTCCTGGCGCAGGGTCACGGAGTCACGCTCTCAGAAAACCTCCACGAACAGCCGTTTCATGATGATGGGAGCGAGAACACGGACTGCGATCTAAACGGAAATGGATCCACTGGTAATGGACTCAGCGGTAAACCCACCACTAATGGTCAGATGGCAGAGAAAAGTGACGAGGAAGTTTGTCTGAGCAGTTTGGAGTGTCTTCGCAACCAGTGCTTTGACTTGGCACGCAAGCTAAGCGAGACCAAACCAGCCGAGCGGCTCATCAATAACCAGCAGGTAGGGATGACTGCTTTTTACAATTATTTATGTTAACCCAGCTAACTGGGAATGTTCTCAGAGCTTTGGGGAATGTTCTGGCAAAGTTCTCTCAAAGTTATGAACAAGCGTTCTTCCAGTAACATTAATAGAGCGCTCATTCAAAGTTATCTGGTCTTTCATAATGTTCCAAAAAATGTCTTAATGTATCATCCAAGTGATGTTTTCATTTAAATGTTCTAACTACCAACTACTTTACCATGTTCAGAGAACATTCAAAATTAATGTTCCCATAATGAGTTTATTTTTACATGCGCAAATAGCATTGTTACAGAGCGTGCTGTGTTTCGTTTGTGCTTACTCTTGTTGCCATGTCCCCCTTTTATAAGCGTCTTTAGGCTTGTTGTTTGGACTATTCTCATAAAGTGAGCCACTGTATGGAGTTTATAAGGTGGGAAGCTTTACCCCAAAAATACAGCATTTAAACTTTTTAAGGTTTATTTTGGGCTTGTTTTTCCTTGCAACATCTGGCAACACAGTCTTTTTAGGCCCTATGGGCTGGTGAGTGAGTGCAACTGTGGAACGAGACAGACCTGTGTCGAAATATGCAAGTAAAAATTTTAATTCTTAAAGATTGAATGTGGTTGTCACTCCTGTAATTTGCAGCATCTACATGGCCATTTCATTATTAAATTAAAATAAAGTCAATTTTTCTTGTGTGTAAAGAACAGAACTCGCTATCAAAATTGTGATGATTGACATCACAGCAACATTCTGGCATCTTGCGTGTTTGGTGTTTGCTATATTTGACCAAATTAATATTACAGGGACCAAAGAATCTTATGTTTGCCAGTTTTAACTAAACCACCATTGACAGAAGTGTTGTGTTTTATTTACATTTGGAAGGCTGCTCAGCAGAGTACTTTCTTTCAGTGTTACCATGTCCACTTATTATAAATGTCTTTGGGCTTGGCTCATACAGCGATCTTGTTTATGGAGTTATTAAAGTGGACAGGTGTGGATTGCACTTTTCTGGTCTTATTTCCAATATAAAGCATGTAGATTTATTTGAGTTTATTATGGGCTTGTACTTATTTGCTTTTTTTTGTAACAAGATCTGGCAACACAAATGAGTCAAGGCTTTTACCTCATTCTCTGATGTTTTTTGCTCTGCACAGAACAGAGACGCATTTCTGATGCATGTTTAAATACATCATTAACAACTAGTTGGTCAGTTTGGTTCTGTACTATCTGTGGAATTTTTGTAAATGCGGTTGCCACTACCTTTTTCAGGAGCTACACTGTGTTCCATTTACCTCGGAATGCAGACATTTGATCGCATTCCAGTACACAAGTCGTAAAACCAAGATGGACGAGTCCAATTGATAGCAATAACAGTCATTTTGCGAACACATAAAAAGCCGTATTTTGCACAGACATATTGAAATATCATGTCCACAGAAGGTCCAATAAAAATATATATTACTAGTGTTTCACTTACAGTATCTCACAGAAGTGAGTACACCCCTCGTTTACAAAAATGTGAGGGGTATACTCACTTCTGTGAGATACTGTATGTGCTGAGCTGCCATATTGGATTCTGAAATCAGGGTTGTTGCAGTTCGTCCAACTTGAGGAGATGTTCCAGTAAAAAGTTTCCTCTGAGAATTGGAATTTCCGACTTCTGAGTACCGCTACTTTGGTTATAGAATGCGATTGCCACTTCTGTAAACTGTGTGGACAGAACTGGATCACATAACAAAAAATGAATTGACAACCAAATTTAGCTGCAGTGTATATGTGGCCTGTAATTACTTTTAAAACAATTGACTTTTTTATTACTTTTGAACAGATACAGTAGTATTCATTGGTCAAAAATCTTACTGTCAGATAACAGTTTACCAGTTAATTAAAGTATATGCATCCCTACCAGGAGATTCATCAGCTTTATCAAGAGGCCCAGCAGCAGCAGCAGCAGCATCAGGGTCCTGAGGAGTCCCGCGTCCTCGAGCGGAATTACTCTGACATGGTCAACCTGATGAAGCTTGAGGAGCAGCTCAGCCCATGCGCCAAGACTTTCTCCAGCTGCGCCGCAGAGCACAAGGGCTTCCAGGACTGCGATGAAGACACCACCTCCGTCACGTCGGACCGCTCAGAGGACGTTTTCGACATGACCAAAGGCAACCTGTCACTGCTGGAGAAGGCCATAGCACTGGAAACGGAACGGACCAAAGCGTTGCGGGAAAAAATGGCTTCGGAAGCAGTCAGGAGAGATAGACTGCATTTGCATGAGGATGGTTTGAGGCACAGCTATGCGGAGGAGCGGAAGGCGCGTCTGCACCATGATGGCCTAAAGAAGCCCTACTACCTTAAAGGTAATCTCATATTACATAACACACAACCAGCACTTAAAATGACTTGTCTGTGTTTCTTTGCTCTGAGAGGGGATCCCGTACTGACCCTGAGACAAGCTTTCTCAAACATCTCCATGCCTGCAGTGCAAACAGCAGTGGCTTAATGTTGTTCAAACAGGCCAGCACGGCCACATCACAGGCTAAGCTTGTCAGGCATAAGTAATGGCGATCTGCACGGCCGGGAGAACAGCAAATCTCATCCCAGAGACACAGTCTGTGCTCACGCTGCCTATTTATAAACCCAGAGAGGAGGTCTGCTTGGAAATATAGCTGTGGCACTGGAGAAACAGGGAAATTAGCCAGTGCTGCATATTCAGAGGAGGTTTCAATGCAATTCCTGGTTTATTTCTTTTTCTGCAGGACAGAGGAGCCAGATTGACGGATTTTTTTATCCATAAAACAGTGAAAATATTACTCTGACTTTTACAAGCAGAAAAGATCAGTTTTCAAAGAGAATAATTCATAAATACAAAGCAGATATTTGGAAATGGTTAAGTCAGTGTTATTTTAGTAGCACTGAGATAACATTATAGTTTTTATTAGGGCTGTCAATAGATTAAAATGTTTAATCTAATTAATCACGTACAGTGTAACAGCAAATAGCTTTTTTTACATTTTAGAGAAGCCAAGTTGCGATACCGAACAGGACCACATGGAGATGCCAAAAAAAACCCTAAACCAATCGCCTGCTGACTGCATATATCTACTACAGTACACGGATCCATTCAGAATTACTAAACACAGCAACATACACATGACAAATCAAAACATTATCGTGAATTTACGGAAATGTCTGTGCCTGTGCATAAATACAATGTGCGATCAGTGCGTCAGGAGCACTCATACATGCATTTTTATAACGGACTCACGTGTGCTTACTGTACGACTCCTGTACACCACCGCAATCGTCTTTACTTTACTTGAATGCGTTTTTTGATGGCAGTCTTCATCCATCCAAACTTTACTAGCAAGACTGGTTATCCAGTTGAGAAACCGTAGTTTGTGTCTCATCCATAAAACGGTGGGATGTGTTGACAATCCGTTCAGTCTGTACTTACAAATCAAAACATTATCGTGAATGTGTGTGGAAACAATGTGAATGTACGGAAATGTCTGTGTCTGTGCATAAATACAATGTGCGATCAGTGCGTCAAGAGCACTCATACACTTATTATTATAACGGACTCACGCGTGCTTACTGTACAACTCCTGCACGCCACCGCAATCGTCTTTACCTTGATTGCAGTCTCCATCAAAACTTTACTAGCGAGCTGGTTATCCAGTCGAGAAAACGTAGTTTGCATCACATCTGGCCGTACAGCGGTGGGATGTGTTGACATTCCGTTCAGTCTGTACTTCACACAGCGCGTGTGACATGTGAGGGCTCGCGCTCTTCAGAGACAATCACAGAATATGACAGAGCTCGTGTTTTAAAGCCAAACACACTGGAATGAATAATTCACTGAAAACGCAATGCGAGTCTCTGTTCTCTCTGCAATCTCTGATGTAATCAGCCTGGTTTCCTTTATATTAGCGCTGTTTTGGATGGATTGTTTGAATGCATTGGAATGGAATGGAATGCAATGGAATGCTTACTGGATCATTGGACTGAAAACTTTCCCGGAGTTTAGCAGCTTAAAATGATCTGATCGCAAGCAGAGAAGCAAAATTGGGGGTAACACTTTATTTTAATGGTCCCTTTTGAACATTCTGTTGACAATAAGTAATGTTGCACCTACATGTCTACTAACTCTCATCAGAGTATTAGTAGACTATTTGCTTAATATCTGCTAACTATTTATTGTCATGGTCTCCCAACAGACATTCTACTGACTATAAGTAACTTTGCGAGTACGTCAACTTATTCTAACCCTAACCCTACCAGTCTACTAATACTCTACTAATACTCTAATGAAAGTTAGTAGACATGTAGGTGCAACATTACTTATAGCCAACAGAATGTGTTAAAGGGACCATCAAAATAAAGTGAAACCAAATTGGGTTAAAGGGTTAAAATAGTTGTGCTTCAGTAATTTTGCGTTAATTGAGTTAAATTATTTTAATGCGTTAAGGATTGTAAAATTAATCGCATGCGTTAACGCGTTAACGCGTTAACGTTGACAGCCCTAGTTTTTATCAATATTTAGAATCAGCTTTTCTGTTTTCATTTCTAGTTAGTTTTAGTTTCAAAAGGTTTTATATATATATATATTTATAACTATAGTAACTATAACAACACTGATTCTTAATCAACACTGATTAAGACTACCGAAATTGAGACCAAGTCTGAGACTAAGACCAGACTAAGAATTTGAAGATTGAAACCAAAAAAGACAGAGTCAAGACCGAGACCAGACTAGCTCTTCTCAAATTAAGCTGAATGATTCACATTTACTGTCTGAGAAATGTCTTGATCAAATAATAATACATCATTTCAGAGGAAATTTTTATTTGTAGGAATTTTCCTTTGGTTTCCATAAGCAAATAAATAAAACACAAGGGAGCTGAAATGAACTTAACCATCTTTATTCAACAAAATATAAAATTTTACATATAGAAATATGATGGAAAAAATGATATGTTTATATATGAAACTAAAGTTAATCAATAAATGAGGGAGTCACAGAATCATTTATTCAACCGATTTGTTCAAAGCAGCTGATTCACAACAGTTCTGCTGTGGATTTGTTTGGAACTATTTTCAGTGAAATAGAGCAAAATGATATCTAAAATGCAAGACACTTAACATTAACTTCAAAAAATCTTTTGCATCTATGATTGTATTTTTTAAAACACATCTCTTGCTCTTGTGACATTGTTAATTATAATATAAAAAGCAACAAGTACTTTTTTGCAATCATATCTTGAATTTAGTGGGAATTTGTATACCTTTTGGTGACATATATGACACAATCCCCCTTTAGTGGTTGAAATGGGTACTGCAGTCCAAATTCAAAATATTGGAGAGAGTTATTTCTCCCGCCACCTCCTCCTCAGGTTCACATGGGTTGCCAGATTGAGGACATGCAACAGGAATGAGGACATTTGACAATGGAAGGCAACAAGCTTTACTCTGTAACTTGATGAGTTGATTTATCTGCGTTTTGGTCATAGAGCTTTTTAGATGGATGTCGAGACTTTTTTAGGTCAAGTAGAAGCTGTGATCTCTGACCCAGTTCGTTTGCTGGCTTCCATGGCTGCAGTACACTGTGTTTTCCGCCAACTGACAACCCGGGGTCTTGAAATCCTATTGGGTAAACTGACAGTGGGCAGAGTCACACAGACCAAAACAAAAAACAGACATTCTGACACAGAACGTACATTTCAAAGTTGAATAACTCTTTGTAGCATTGTTTTTCAGGGAAACAAGTATGTGAACTTACTGTTTCCTAAATCTCTGCAAACATATTATGGTATTATTATGCCTTAGAACAGTCAAAAACGAAATAAATAAATAAATACATACATACACTTACATGCAGCACCTTTAATTTCTGACCCGGCACAACAGCAACAAATTAAATCAAATTAAACATAAAATACTGATTGCATTTGAAGCAGGAAGTTTTACATATAATCACAGTAATGATGTTAACAAATAAATCAGACAATGCACTGGCAATTTCATGACATCCCTGTAGTTAAGGTCTTGACCGGTCTTGAAAAAGGAATCCAGAGTCCTCTTATTATGAGAAAAGTTTATAAATGCGGTGGATACCAAGACCTTGAAAAAATAGTCTCGAGACCAATGATGTCAGAAGTGTCATTTTTTGGGTGAGCAAACCCTTAAAAACCCATGAGAACTTTCATCCGCTGTTCTCCAGATGAGACAGCACGCATGAAAGGACGTTTGACCAGCATGCATGGCAGACACTATCTCTCTAATGGCAGAATAATGAGGGACGCTTGGCCATTACACCGCGATAACATCTCGCCAAGGCAGAGATAGCGGCAGACGCTGCCTAACCAGGGGGCATTATGATTTATAAAAAGTGTGGAGGCCTGACAGTTATGGAAGGAGCTCTTCCTTAAAGAAGGCACGAGGCGGAGATGGAAATTGAACAGTATCAGTATGACCGATAACAAACGACAGGACCACTGACTGCACATTAATTATCCACAGACGCTATGGTAATGGGGGCCATTTGCTATGCAAAGCATGGCTTGTCCGGAGCCACAATCAATATCCAGCACTTTCTAATATGTATTCCGCACGGCTCGGCTGTGCTCTCTCCCTCTCGTTTGTTTTCTCTCTTTTTGAAATGGCTGCAAAGTAGTCAGAGGATTCAGGCTTTATTAAACGGTTAGAATTTTAAAGAAATCATGCACAAAGGTGAATCTCACAGCACCTGTCAAGAACACGTCTGGCTCATATTTTACAAAATCAACAGTATTAAAAAATACCCCTGTGAAAAAGAAATGCACGGTCCCACTTTCTATTAGTTGGCTTTAAATGTACTTACATCAAAAAAATAAGTACAATGTATTTATTGTGTTCATATTGTAGTGCAAAAAACACGTTTGCTGCAATCGAGGTGGGATATGGGTAAGGTTAGAGACAGGTTTGGTGGTATGGGTAACTGTAAGGGATGGGTCAACACTGCAATTATAAATGTAATTACAGAAATTAATTACAGATGCACATGCAGGTATTTTTTTTAAATATGAGTAAATTGTAAAAACATGTATGTACACATTGCATTGTATCAAATTATTAATTTAAATGTAAGTACATAGTAGTTAATGCCACTTAATATAAAGTGGGACCTAATGAACTTTATTGTATTAAATGTGCACTTGTAGTGTACTTCAAATCTTAATAGTGTATTTTTTAAATACTACTAAACTGTACTTGCACTTACAATATGTGTGTATTGGATGAATGCAATCTGGACGTGCTTGTCATGTTGTCACTTTCAAGTGAGCTTCCAGCGTCAGTTGCGTCGCTTCACTGCCATTCATAAATCATGTGTCATGGCCTCATGGATTTGCAAAGTGTCCATTAGATGTACACTTCAGGATTTTGCTGGGGATTTTTGAATACAGTTTTATGAATAGTATATTCAGATATATTGCATTCACCAACTATATTGTAGACAATTGCACAAATTCGGATACGACCCACACCATAAAACACTTCATGCACACCATTCAGATGACTCTTCCCCAAAACTCAGTTCATTTCTTAATGTTTAAAAATAAACCCAAACTACAGAATTCATCATCATAAAGACAAAAAAAAATTGAGCTAAATTATGACCTGCACATATCATGATATTCACCCCGATGTATGTGTTTGTTACATGTTGCAAAGCTTTAGTAGTTGTTGTTTAAAGCACATATTCCAAAAAATTTGAGTAGCTCTGCAAACTATTTTCAATCTCACCAAAATTGAGCCCACGTCTCTCACATGATCGCATGCTATTCCTGTCTATTTTGAGCTTACGTTGATACAGGAGGCAACATGATTCTCGTTACCAAGTTACTCCATCCTTAAAATTTTAATCAGTGGTAACAGTAGCATACTCGCTCGCTCGCTCACTCACTCGCTTGTGCTCTCTCTGTTTGAAACATAACCAATAGCTCTGGATAGCTATCTGGAAGAGATGCACTCTTCAGTCAATACACAGATCCAGGATAGTCACTGCCTGTGCAAACTACACTAACAAGGACAAAAGATCACAGCTGTAATGTCAGATTACTTTTCTTAGGGAATTAATTATTATTGATTAATTCAGGTTTTGAGAGGACTCGAATCTGAAAATTCGAAAGTCAACCTGATTAGAACTGATTTCAAATTTGACTTCAATTTATCATGTGGAGAAATATCAGTTATTGCTGTCCTAGTGCTTGCCGACCCCGGAGGTGGTTTGGTAAATCACTCTCTCCTTGTGTTTCTTGTAAAGATAAGCCAAGCGGGACAGGAACTTATTTGAGACAATTGGCGCCTGGGCTGACCATAGTTCAGGTTTACGACTCTCATATGGTTGAGAAGAGATGTTAGTTTTCCAGTGGAATGCGGAGATTCCATCGTTCATTTGTGTGATGCTCGCAAATGCCTTACACAGCTATACTACCGTTCAAATTACAATTCAAACTAACCGTTTTCTATTGTAATATATTGTAAAATGTAATTCATTCCAGTCATTACTCCAGTCTTCAGTGTCACATGATCTTAAGAAATCATTCTAATATGCTGATTTGCTGCTCAAGAAACATTTATGATTATTATCAGTGTTGAAAATATTTGTGCTGCTTCATTTTTTTGTGCAAACCATGCTATAGTTTATTTTTCACGATTCGTTGATGAATTAAAAGAACAGCAGTTATTTGAACTATATATTTTTGTAATCTTATAAATGTCTTTACTGTCACTTTTGATAATTTTAATGCATCCTTTATAATTATTTTTTAAAATATATATTTTTTATATATTACTGACCCCAACGGTAATATATATTAATGAACGATGCAACACAGAATAAACTGATAAAAAAAATGATTCTGTGGTGAAGTAAATACTGTGGAAAAAACAAATGTAATTTCTATACTGAATAAGTAAGTAAGTTTTTTTTTTTTTTTTCAAAGCAAATTCTAAATTAGTAATCAATTCAAGTTAGTAGAAATTAAAGTTTGAATTTTAGAAGTATATTTTACTTGGAATTGTTTGTAACGTTTACAATGATTGTTTGAGTAAGAATCACAGTTATAAATTTAAATAAAACCTACTCAACTTAATACTTGTGCTCCCATCATGCCCTGAGAACACTAGTATCACATAATTTCCAAACCTTGAAGCATATGGTAGCAAAGAAACAATTGAAGAAACAATCCTCAAATACGTTCTGATCAAAAATGGAATGTGCTTATTTTTGGAGGGTCAGATCTAAATACTGTACATTTGCAGAAATGTATTTGTTTGTTTGTTGTATTCTTTTCCCCATGCTGGGCTATCATTGTGCTATCAGTTATTTCAGTTTTGTTCATCCTCAGTTGTTGCAAAAACAACTTTGCTTTTTGCTTTGCCTATCGGTCGGTGTTATTTTTTTGTCTAAGTGGGCAGTTCTTGGACAGAATGAGACATTATCAGACCCCTTAAAAATGTATTTACAGTATAAACAACTGAATCAGCAATTAATCCTGTGTGTGTGTGTGTGTGTTCAGATTCTTCACGGTCGGGGAAAAAGGAGAGCCGGTGTCCAACGCCTGGGTGTGACAGCACAGGTCATGTGACGGGTTTGTACCCGCACCATCGCAGCCTGTCTGGATGCCCTCATAAAGACAGAGTCCCGCCAGAAAGTAAGCACTCTACACACTCTTTCTATACTTCAGTGCCACATGTGCTTGCGTTCGTCCTTTAAACCTTTGCCATTTTTCATGCTGGCATTTATGAAAAGAGGTCATAATCATTGGATGATTGTGTGTCTGTATGTGTTTGTCTGTTGAACCCAGTCTTCAGTTAATTCTGCATGTTGTCCTCTTAACACACACACACACACACACACACACACACACAGACACAGACACACACACACACACAAAAAACATTCCTTTACATTCCTATGCAATACTTTTTCAGCTCTATAAATTTGACAATTTTAGCAATTTGAAATTTAAAATACTACTTCCAAATTCAAAATACTTCAAAATGCTACTTTTTACACGTACATTTTATGTACAGTACATGACTATTAAAACATTAAAATCTACCTTTTTCTGTTGATTAGCATTTATGGCAAAATTTACAGTAAGTAAAGCATATTTTGGTGTCCCTGGAACATAATTCAGGTTTGAAGGTATTTACATTATATATTATGTGGACATGAAAGCGTACGGCATAGTAGGAATGACCCATCTACCCTTCAGCTTACGAGAAAACTTCTCGCAATGGAGGAGCAGTCATCACAATATCAGACATGCATGAATGCATTTATTGTTTCTGTTGATAATTACAATGCTATCTTAATGGAGGCCAGTTTAATAAGCTGGGTAGATTTCTCATTTTGTTTTAGATGCTCAATTAAATCCAGTTGAATAAACTGTAATAATTATAATCTGATGAAAGAGTTACAGACAGACTTCCTCTCATTCACCTTGAGCAAACCTCTTTCATGCGATTCATTAAAATGCATACAATTGTGTGTTTTATTCACCAATAACCAGATGGCAAATCAAACTAACTGATGGCTTTGACTACAGACTGGATTTAGTTAAGAAAAAGATTTGATTTTAAAGTGTCCAGATGGCAAGACAGTTTGTGAGCTGGCACAGCAAGGGCGTTTTTAGATGGCCATCACTTTAGTGTGGACGGTGACATGTGACACACACTTACTGAATGATTGGTTCTTTATGCGGAGTCACTTAGTGGCTGTTCTTTCTTTATAATCCTCTTAGTATCTTCGGGTTCTACTAAAAAACATGTTTTGTTGTCTTATGTCATATCAGTATTGTTGGAGATTTAAATATTTCATTACTAATAGTACAAACTTAAACAAAAGTAAAAAAGTCATTAATTCACTATATAATATACAGTGACAATATCTTGCTATATCATCATGATGATAAAGGTGGCACATTAGAAAATCACATGGTCAATCAGCGTTCATTGCAAATGGTCTATCTATAAAACATGATGGTGCACAGGGTCATAAACACTAAAACAAAACTTTATTACAATAACACACATGACACTATCAGTAATGCAGTAAACATGCACTAAATAACACAATATAATATTAAACACCCTAATGCACGACTAAAAATACATGGGAAATATATAAAAAAAAAATAAAAATCAAATTTCACTACAAATTATACAATAAGTAATTACATAATTTACATCATCAGGAACCTAAGAAATGTGAATTACTTGAAACTACATACAAATGTTAATTTTGATTCCTTAAATGTTAAAGGTGTGTGAGTTCCCAGCATGCATTGCAGCATGAACAATTCATGCGGTTACTGTGATAGGAGTTCTTGTTTCGCTGTTTGCTGACTTTTGTTTAATCTTGTCATTATTATTTGCTGTGTTATGATGTTAATAGCTCATCTTTTGGTCGCCGTTCTTGAGATTTGTGTGTCAAGTGTTGATGTTTTTGTTTGTAAGGTGATGGCACCTGCAGGAACAATAATAGCATAGTTTACTTCACATATTAAGCTATATCTATATATAACTACTAAAATGACTGATCAGTTTAGTGTTAATAACTAAATATTTGCTGAACAAGTTGATTCTGTGTGAATTTATTGGCTGAATGAGGCATTTTAAATTTAGTAAACAAACCAATTCAAATTAATTAAAGGGATACAGTAGTTCACCCAAAAATGCTAATAATCTTTCATCACTTACTCACCCTCATGTTGTATGAGTTTCTTTCTTCTGACAAGCACAGTTGACAGTAGCCATCGACTACCAAAAATAAATAAATAATAATAATGATGATAAAAACTATGGATGCCATTGGCATCAAATGACTGGTTGCCAACATTCTTCAAAATATTTTCTTTTGTGTTCAACAGAAGAAAGAAATTTGTACAGGAACAACTTGAGTAAATGATGACAGAATGTGCATTTTTGGGGTGATCTGTTCTTTTAAGTGTTACTTTTGACAATTTAAGACAATAGTCAAGAGAATGTAAAAATCTGAATGCATCAAGTTGCACTGAATTTTTTTGTGTTGAGTAAAACCACTCACCTTTACAAAATTACGAAACTTAAAATAAGCTGTACTTGCTTTGAGAGACACAAAGACATGTGTCTCAGTCGGTGGAGGCAGCGGATGCTGCTTGCTGCTCGGTAATGAACATGTCAGAATATGTTGAAGATGAGGGTGAAGGATTAAGCAGCTGATAATGATGAAGCTGAGCACCGGAAGAGCGCTGGTCTGCTCGCCCCGGCCCATGCTCTCTGCCCTCACTCCAGCGTCCTAATGAACAGTAATCTAATTGAGAGAGTTTAGACGGTCATGGACAGAGGAGACAAAGGCATGTACAGATGAATAACAGAGTTTGGGATCAGAGAGAGGCAGTGTTTGGGCAGTGATTTCATTGATTGCTAACGTGTGTCTACTGCAAATGAAAGACAAATGCAGAGCTGAGACAATCATGAGCAGCAGCACCTCACAGCAGATGACCGTGTGCATGAGCTTACGTTAGCTGACAGCTTCAGCTAGTGATGAGAATGCAATCAGGGTCAGAGCTCTCTGTGAAAGCGTCTTTCTGCGTCACTCACAATCCACCGCACTGCCGTGTTAAACTAAGCATCAGATTTTACTTACAACATCTTCAAGCTAGCAGCAGGAAATCCAGTTAAACAGAATAGAATAGAATAGAATAGAATAGAATCTGAAGAGCCACATCCAGGATCTTTACCTTATAAGGTATGGCTTTGTTACACTGTAAAAATGTTTCACCCCTTTCAACTTAAAAACGTAAATTTTGTGGCTGCCTTAAAATTGTAAGTTAAGTCAACTTCAAAGTACAAGTCATTTCAACTCACTAATTTAAATCTTGCCTAGTGCTGAATTGTTTTATTGAAGTTCATTTGACTTTACAATATTTGCTGTTTCAACTTAAGTTCAAAATTTTTAACATTAATTTTCTA